TGAGATCATCACCAGAGCTGAAGTCAGATGTTTAACTAACTGAGCCACCCAGGCGCTCCTACTGGTTGTACATCTTGAAGCTGAACACTGTTTTGTTCCTATTTTATAGTTTAATTAAAATGCAAAAATAAAATTTCTGGTATAAGTCTTTATCGTAATAAAAAAAACACTTGGGTCCTTTTTTGTTTTAGAAATAACTTTTAAAAAAAAATTTTTTTTTCAACGTTTATTTATTTTTGGGACAGAGAGAGACAGAGCATGAACGGGGGAGGGGCAGAGAGAGAGGGAGACACAGAATCGGAAACAGGCTCCAGGCTCTGAGCCATCAGCCCAGAGCCTGAGGCGGGGCTCAAACTCATGGACCGCGAGATAGTGACCTGGCTGAAGTCGACGCTTAACAGACTGTGCCACCCAGGCGCCCCTAGAAATAACTTTTAAAAAATGTTTATTTATTTATTTTGAGAGAGAGAGAGAGTATGAGTGGGGGATGGGCAGAGAGAGAGGGAGAGAGAGAATCCCAAGCAAGCTCCGCACTATCAGCACAGAGCCTGATGTGGGGCTGGATCCCACGAAGTGTAAAATCATGACCTGAGCTGAAATGAAGAGTCGAGCACTTAACCCACTGAGACACCAAGGTGTCCCTTGGGTCCTTTAATTATAAATGCTTTGTGTCAAAACAAACGTGTTCAGAACTTTTGCCTCTTTTATGTCACAGGCAACTAATAGAATTTGGGCTCTTGCAGAATCACAGCACTGAAAAATAGTTCATGATACTTGTTAAAATGGTCCTAAAGACTTTTTTCAAGGAAGACTAGGTAGAGGGACCACTACAATGGGATTTTTCAGTAGGAAGAGAGATAGGGTTCAACTCCAAATGTAAGGAAAAGTGGGAATTTACAGCCAAGAAGTAGCATAGGGGGTGGTCAGTGGATAGAAAATTACTAAGAGGACTAAGGGAGAATTTTGTTTAAACGGACACTACAGGGCTCTTGGTAAAGGCAGGTCAACGTGATCAAACATCAACTGGGGGATAAAGAACCCAATCAGATATTGAGGGTAATCAGATATCAGGAGTGGGCAATTCTGGCTAACCTGACTTAGCAGGATTCTTGCTAAAATTGGACAATGCAGAGACAAACATGAAGTCCCAAAGTCAAGGCCTACTTGAGAAGAGAATTCAGAGGAGTCTGTCTAACGTTTGGTCAAAGAGAGAATCTTTGTCACTGGACAGTTTTACGCTTGATCCAGAATTCAGGTTCTTACCCAAACCACCAGCAATATAAGCTTAGAACCTAAAATGACCACTGTATCAGTAGAATTGGGGCTATGTTCAACTCTAGTCTGGGAAAAATAGGGCCAGGGCTCATTGATTGGGCTTGTCTCTCCTGTTGCCTCTCCTATCTTTCTCAGTTTGTGATTAACGAATTGTAATGACTAAGTCTACAGTTTATCTCCATCTTTTTAAAGTTCTGGTGTCCATTTTAGGACAAAATTTGAAACTTTGTTTCTCTTTATAAGTGAGTTTGAAAAGGAAAATAAGGGTAGGGCTACTTGGAAATAGGACTAATGCTAAGAAATCACTTGCTTTTTCTTCTGATAAATGAAGTCTATTTTTTTTTTTAATGTTTAGTTATTTATGGGGGGGGGGCTTGGGCAGAGAGAGAGAGGGAGACAGAGGCTCTGAAGCAAGCTCTGTTCATACAGCAGAGAGCCCGGCGTGGGACTCCAACTCACGAACCATGAGATCATGACCTGAGGTGCAACCAAGAGTCAGACACTTAACCAACTGAGCCACCCAGGTGCCCAAGTCTATTGTTTATAAGGAGCAATCAAACACAGTTATAGGAACAGTTGAATCTTCCTGTGAATTTTGCTTATAAAGGGACTGAATTTCCTGCCTACCCTCCCAAGCCCTTTCTGGGAAAAGGAAATTACTTTCTGTGGAAAATTCTCGAAATATTGGCTGAGTAATTTAATTCCTGGCACATATAGTATATAGTGTGATTCTATTTGGAAAAACACTTATAAATCAATGATGCATAGATAAAACTCTAAAAGCATATATATGCTGAAATTTAGTAGCTCATTGAAGGAGTTAGCTTTTTTAAGAGTTTTCTACGTATTATGAATTTCTTTTCAATGAATGTGATGTATTTTTATAATATACATACACACATAATTACAAGGTGTTTTCTATTTTCAAAAGAATGCCAGTTTTTTTCAAGAAACATTTTCTGAGTACCTTCCATGTACTGGTTTAGTGCCTTTAGATTAGACGTTTATTTGTTAGACAGTTATTTAATAAGCAATGACTATACATAAAACTTAGTCATATATTAGGGTTCAACTGGACACATTTGAGCTACTTATAGTATGATAGTTCTGATCGCAAAGGTCGCTAGGGATGAAGGGTTGCACCAGTCTCTGGTTTGAACAGATACCAGCAGCTTTTGATATAGTTGCTGGGTAAAAAGAATGCTTTTTCCTGGTGAACAAATAGAGGAGACAAACTATGAGAGCAGTAGATTGGAACTGGGGTAAATTCCCTTATTAATGTGATAATTTACTTTTAAATACTTCAGAATAAGCAGTGTGATGTATGTGTTTATATGCTAACTCCAATTTCTGCCCTTGGAGTGATTAGTGAGCATGTGAATTGCCCTGGTCTGTAATGATCATCTTAACAGCTGGTGATTTAACACAGGAAGCACTCTTTTCTGTGGCATAACGTTTGGCTAAATAATGAAGTCTGTAGAGTTTAAACTATGCGATGGATTAGGAGAAGGGAAAGGATCTGATACCCTTGTATGAATACAACATATCATATGGCAGGGCCAGTAGCTCATGTCAGCTGTGCCTTGAAACTGCTACATGTTTTATGTTTAGACCCCAGAGATCAGATAATGTAGTTAGAACATGGTAAATTGGAGTCCTTTTGGATGGCAGCTCATATAATTATTCAATCAACATTTTTTGAACGCTGGGTGATTATATGGTGGGCCTGTTGGGAACTAAAGATAAGATGATGAAGAAGACTGAGTACCTGAGATCAAGAGACAGTAGGAGAGACAGCAGTAAATAGGTCAGTTTCATTTTACAATTATATAAAAAGTGCTATGGTAGGAGTGACAAGGCACAATGGCAGCATAGAGAAGGGTCACCTCATCTAGTCTCAGGAAGTCAGGAAATAGGAGACCAGAAAGAGGAACAGAGGCTAACATATAAAGAATATCAAGCAGGGTTACTTAAATAAGTATATGTATTGTGCAAAAGCCCAGAGTCCAGATAAAACACATGAAGCTTGGAGAATCAGAAGGAATTCATTCTAGCCAGAGCAGAATTTACAGAATCTACAGAGACATGGAAAGGAATTCCATAAAAGTTGAATTGACCTCAAAGAAAAATTTCCTTTTCTTTTACCCATGTTATCAATTTGAATTGGAATTCAGAGGCTACTCCAGAAGACTTCCTAAGTGAATTTTTATCTAAAAAGAAACGAGGGGCTGGATTTTTCAGGCTTTATTGAAAAGTCTTAATGAAAACAAGATTTGGGAGCATCTCTGTGTCTTTCTAGTTCCTTGCTCTACTGAGCAGACTCTTCCTGCTTCTCCATATTTTTACAACCTAGTCTTCTGTCAAATGTGTTCTTCCTTGCAAATCATAGAGGTGAAACGGGTAGCTGACAGTTTTACTTTACATAGCTCTTATTATCAGCAGAATTGACCAACTATATTTTCTACTTACCGTTCTGCACATTTTTAATGGGGTTGTTTATCTTTTCTCACTGATTTATAAGGGCTCCTATAGCTTCATGAAATATACTCGTTGTGATAGAAGTTGTTAATTTATATTCATATTGGTATTTGTCTTCTTGCCTTGCTTTTTCTTTTCTATGAATAATTTCATTATTTTTATGTAGTTGAATATATTAATCTTTTCTTTTTAATCATCATATTCACACTGAAAAAGGACTTTTCTACCACAAAACTACTTTTTAATCTTTTACAATTTAATTTTCATTTAAAAATCTTTGATACTTCTGAAATTTGCTTTGGTATGAAGTGAAAGGAAGACTTGAAATTTTTTTTCCAGATGGGTATGTAGAGTCCAAATTACACTTACAGAATATTCCTTATCCCTTCACTAATGTGAAATGCCAAACTTATTGTATAATAAATTTCTATCTGAATTTTTACTGATGTCCAAACTTTCAACACTATTTTACTGATGTTTAAATATTCAGGTGCCAGCACCATTGTGCTATTCATTCAATATTCATTGTGCTACTTGTTGGGATGTTTTTTTTTTTTTTTTTTCCCAACGTTTATTCATTTTTGGGACAGAGAGAGACAGAGCATGAACGGGGGAGGGGCAGAGAGAGAGGGAGACACAGAATCGGAAACAGGCTCCAGGCTCCGAGCCATCAGCCCAGAGCCCGACGCGGGGCTCGAACTCACGGACCGCGAGATCGTGACCTGGCTGAAGTCCGACGCTTAACCGACTGCGCCACCCAGGCGCCCCTTGTTGGGATGTTTTAACATACAGTTAGAGATAACTGCCTCTCATTATTTTTCTCTTTATAGAATTGCATTGGATATTTTTGCTTACAGTTTTTCAATGTATACTGTAAAACAAATTTGTCTACTTTGAAAACATTTTTGACATATTTGTTGGAATCATGTATACATATATGTGTACATGTACATACATACATATACACATATGTATACATATATGTATATATGTACAGACACACACATACACCATGTATGTCTTATTTACTTTGGTTCATTTTATAAATTTTTGTGTTCTTCAGTAACACTTAAAGTATGTCTCTATGTAAATTTTACAAATGTCTTTATAATCTTATTCAGAATTATTTTGTTACAATGGCATTGAAAATTTAGCCTTTTCTTCCATTGTATTTTTCAACTTGGTTCCCATTTCACTAAATTATTTCATTCAGTCAAAATTAAGTTTATCTTGTATATGCCATGAGCTGATGTTTTTTTGCAATCACTTTTTATTTTTAAACTTTTGTTGTATGAAAGTGGCATGACACATGTATTTCAAAAATAAACACAGTATTACACTACTAAAACAAAAGAAGCCTCATTTTATAGTATCCTTAACAAGACATCTAAGCTTATTTAATTGTTTTCATTGAGAATTTTCCTCCCTTGACGGACTAGCCTAAAAATTTCAGGTAGTGCCACAATTAATACATTCCCAGCCACATCAATCGCCTTTGAAATCAATAACGGATCAGTTTTTTTGTTTCTTTCAATCTCTTCTTGTAGCCGATTTATCTCCTTATTCAACTCCTCGGATTTCTTTCCAAATCTTTCATTAAGCAATTCTTCTTGGACCTATAAAATGAAAAGAGTCCACTTGTGAAAATCACCATTATCAGGATTCAGCCAGCAGCAAACGTACGTGTCTGTTTTTCTGCCACTTTAGACTGCTGTTTGGAGGATATCCAATGTGTCCATACATTTTGACCTGGATAATGAGAGTATCCACGGTTTATAACATCCTAAGATGTCTTCAGCATCATCTCTCTGGGGGTGGGTAGGTGTTGGGCCTAGATCAGACATGAGAACTTTCCCCATAACGCATTCTAGCCCAAACAATGCTCTTTGGGTAGGAATACAGTTTTAATTCTAATTAATTCTCAGTTCTATTTGAGGTTGCATGGCCACAATCATCTAATAAAGCATGGTAACTACTGACTCTGTACAGAATATTGCTTATCAAGCTGCAGGTTGGACCAAGGAAAGATTTTCCTCTATGTTTTATAATAATCCCAGGATATTCAGACAGATCTGGAAAAAAATGCAGCAAGTTTTGGAGCCTTTTCATTTCATGTCAGACCTAATTGGATACTTTCAAGACAAAAAAAAATTCTATTTCTGATCTCTCTGATGGTGGTATCAAGAATCCTAAGGACTATAGGACTAGAAGACAAAGACCCTACTCAATTGGGGTTCACAAGACCATTCCATAACCACTCCAAATAGCAAACCATTCCTCAAGGGGTGTTATTTGTATACTCAAAAGTCTAGCACTATGGAAGGGGCAGATGTATTATGGCTTTAAGGGTTACAGCAGGATCCACATGGACTGAGGCAGTTAGTAAATCACATGCCATTTGTGTTTCACTCTTGGATCATGACTTTGCTTAAAATTTTGTCCTTCTCTTCCTGAGGAGTGAGGATCTGCCCAAATCCAGGCCAGACTTACCTTCAGATAATGTTTCAACATCCTTTCCAGCATTTCCTGAGTGTTTTCTTTTTCCTTCTTTATCTTCTCTTCCAGCTGGCTTAGGTTTTCCTTGAGGCTCCTCTCTTGAGCCTCCATTTTTTGCTTTTGTTCATTTTCTTTCTGTTTTAGCTGCTCCTGTTCCTTCTCAGAGGCCTCCCTTTTGGCCTGCTCCACTGTCCCATGCAAGTTTTTAAAGGGAATAAAATAACAGGTCAGGTCTGACCCTCCTGAGCTTAGAGACTTAACTGACTTTGCAAAGGTGACTGGGAAATGTGTAATTTCACCAGATGGCCACACCATTGACAGGTTTCTCATTTTGAAGTTAGAGACTCTGCCTGGCTGGCTGATGTACAACTACCACTTGTCTTGTTATTTTCAGAATTGATTGAACAGAGCATGTTTTCTGTGGTAGAAGAGGAAACTCCTTGTTGCAAGAAGGTCTTTGGTCAGATCTGTCAGTGGGCACTGCAGGAATCTACCCATCCCGCTGTGAGTTGAGCCCTCCCCTGTACCTGCTTTGGCCATGTCCCCAGCAGTGAGGGCTTTGTCTAAATGCATGATGGATTCCTCTACTGCTGCCTGTGACTGTAGGAAGTTCTGGAGGATCTCATTTGCCTGAGGAACCAACCAACAAGGAGCAAATACATGTCAGGCAACAAAGATCTTGTCTCTGGTTGCAGAAATAATTGTTCAACAAAACCTCAAATATGGCCCAGTAAATTGTGTATCCCTGAGTGATTCCCTTCCTTCTATGTCCACAGCATAAATTCTAATCTATTGATGAGAATGGAAAAACTCCATCATAGTCTTCTTAGTTCTTGAGACCCTTTTCTAACTGATGCCCACCCCCAAGCCCCACCATGGGTTACAGCCAACCAGACTCCTGATTCTACAAACATATTAAAACTTTGTTTATATGTATTTGGACATTCTTCTTCCTGGAAGCTCTTCTAGCTTTTCTTAATAAAGCTAACATCTATGAATACTTCATCTTAAACTTCTAGGAGCAACCTTCTGTAATGTTTCCTAAGCTGCCATCTGAGCTTTGAATGGCCACCAAGATACTGATTTGCCCTACCAGCTCTACCACTTACCGTGGCATGGGCTTAGGCAATTTATTAGCTTCTCTGTGCATCACATTTCTCAAGTGTATAATGTAGATAGTAGTGTACCTAATTCACAATATTACTCTGATGATTAAATTAATAACCCAACAAAAGCACCTAAAGACCATGTGTGGTAGAGAGAGTCAGTGTTCAATGTGTTAACCATTACTATCATCATTACCATTATCATTAGTCTATTAGCATACCAGTATAACCTTTATCATACCCTATCCTGTTCACTATTTGTATCTCTGGTAAAATCAGCATCTTGGAGCAAAGTTGTGTCTCTAATATTTGTATTCCCCAGGGACTTAGCACAAATATTATCATATGCTCCACAGGGAATTATTGCCTTGCTCTTGTTTTTCCCCATAATTGGTACTAGGGTCTTAGATATTCAGAAGGTGCAACAAAGGCCACCTGACTCCACTCTACTGTTCAACCTCTTTCCCTTTATTCCTTACCTTAACTCCTTTCCTGTGCACCTCTTTATAACCAAGTTCAACATTTCTCTTTGCTTTTAAGTACAAATCATATCCTCCAGAAACAGAGAAAGTTCCTTTTGAAATGCTTTCCTTCAGAGGCTCTGAAAGCTGCTCCATTGCAGCCTGACAATATTTGAAAGATACATCTTCATTTTGCATCAAGAAATCATCCTTCTTTTTCTCTATGGTGTCCTGCCAGGGAAATGTAGAGAAATCCAATGGGAAGAAGCTGTTAGGAGGGAAAGTTCAATTGTCATCCTTTTAGAAAAAGCATCCTGATTACCTAAGAGTACAATGAAACATGGAACAGACCAGGAGTCAAGAGACTTTTAGCCCTAGTTCTGACCAATTCTCTGTGTGACCTGTAGAAAGTCCCTTTACTTCCCTGGGGTTGGAAGACATGAACTCCATGGTTCCTTCTGCTGTAGTATGATTAACGGTGACCCAATCATCAACAATGAGCAATAGGAAGTTGAATTGTGGCTAGAAGTAGAGTTTCCTCAGAGAGTTTGGGTTGTTATGGATGAAAATGTACATCCCCCTGCCCCCCAAACAATCATCTGGTAATGACAAAAGTGTATTCTGAGCAGACTTTGGAACTCTCCATGAATTCTTTTAACAAGAATTTGAGCGTGTAAAGAGGAAAAAATAAACATTTCCCCTGCTCTTGAAAATTACAATACAGCTGACTTTCTGGCATTTTCTCAATATGAACAAAGAGATTTTTTTCACTGTAGGGTGGTCATAGACTGAAAGACAAACTTCCAGAAAGATGCCAATGGTAATTAATTGTCCCCAGGAATTAAACTCTCCTCCAAGATTTCCTTCTTCTGATGTATACCCCTTGCATGGTCCTGGAGCCTATGAATTTGCTGAATTTTATTCCAGTGGTTAGATATTACATGGTACAAGTTAACTTTAAGAAATGGAGATTACTAGAGGGTAGGATTGGAGAAGGCTTAGATAAGACCATATATTCTTTTAAAGCAGAGAGTTCTCTCAAGCTCTTAGTAGAAGAGGAAGTCAAAAAAACTAAAATATGAAAAGAATTTTATGTGTCATTGTTGTCCTGAAGATGAAAGGAGAACATGGAGATATACAAAAAATGCTTCTAGGAGCTGGAGGCACCCCCTGTCTGAAAGCCAACAAAAAAGGGAACATGAATCCTACAACCAAAAGGAAGGGGATTCAGTCAGCAGCCCGAATGAACTTGGAGCCACTCCAGAGCCTGCAGCTGAGAACTCATTTTGGCCAACATCTTGTTTTTAGTCTGTGACACTCTGAGCAGAGGATGGCGCCATCCTATGCCTATGTTCTGACCTACAGAATGGTAAGCTTATGCATGTATATTATATATGTATTATATACATTATATATGAATAATATATATATACAAATATATATTTATTATTACAGTGTGCTAAATTAATGGTAGTTTTCAAATGTTGCAATAGAAAATTAATAGAATGCCCATCTTTTAGTAAAAAGGTGACTAGTAACCCTGTAGTGCCCTGTCACTCACAAGAACCCAGGTTCCATCCACCATGAGAGGTAGAAGAGCTGCGGAGTCAAAAAAATGTACTGTAAGCATTCATTCAGAAGGGTAGGAATTAGGAAGGATAAATGCTAAGACACACTACCACAAGCTTTTTCTGGAAAGACCGCTTGTCATCCTTAAAGGAATGCTCCATGAAGACTGCAATGGCTTCCCTCTCGCAGTCTGTATGCACATCCAGCAGCTCCTGGAGCGTGTCTGTGGGGAAGCTTACTCGTTGGGCCATCTGCTCGCTGTAGTGGTCGGCTGCCTTCTGCACGGCCACTGAGTTCTCACGCTGGGCAAGAGCTGTCACCACGTTCTCCAAGCAAGGAACTTCTCCTGTCTTGATGGCATCCACATAGGCTTTCAACAGAGTCCCCAGCCCTGAATAAGGCAGGAAATTTGAGAATAAATAGCAAGGTCTTAATCATTGGCTTCCAGTTTTTATGGAGCATCATCCTGAGATCACAAAAACCCCACCTTATTTAGAAACAAACTTTATTTTCTTCTTTGGGAATCTATTTCTTTCTAACAACATTGTTTTTTTATTCTTGTTTTATTGTTCTCCATTTCTTCATATTATAATTTAAATGATCAATTACAGGAGCGCCTGTGTGGCTCAGTCATTTGAGCATCCAATTTTGGCTGAGGACATGATCTTGTAGCTCATGGGTTCAAGCTCTGGGCAGGGTTCTGTGCTGACAGCTTGGAGCCTGGAGCCTGCTTCGGATTCTGTATCTCCATCTCTCTCTGCCCCTTCCCCGCTCGTGCTCTCTCTCTCTCTCTCTCTCTCTCTCTCTCTTTCAAAAATAAACATTAAAACAATTTTTTTAATAATTGATTCATTGCAATTAATATGCTCATGGGTCACTGGAAAAATAGTTTCCCATTCAATGAGAATAAAAAGGAATAGATTATACAGGTGAAGTAGTATACACAAACAAGACCAGCTACATAATTTGTGTGGCCCAGGACAAAATGGAAACGTGGGCTCCTAGTTGAAAATGATCAAGAATTCAAAACACGGATAGATGGGTGCCTGGGTGGCTCAGCTGGTGAAGCAATCGACTCTTGATTTCCACTCAGATCATGATCTCATGGTTTGAGTTGAAGCCCCAGATCAGACTCTGCGCTGACAGCTTAGAATTCTCTCTCCCAAAATAAATAAGGAAACTTAAAACAAAACACACAGAGAGTATTGGCTCATCTCTGCACAAGGTATTACCGGACTGTATAAGTCACGTGCCCATGAAGCCTGCTCTGCATATAAGACTATACATAATTTTCTTTGTCAATGGGCTTGCCGGAACATCTGACTCATGTAAGTTTACAAAATACCTACTATATCCTTAAAGACCAGAAGATATCCTATAGGATTTCTCAATCTGCAGATGTCCTCTCTTTAACTCTGTCTTGCCTTTTTATAATTAGCGAATTAGGGTTTTGAGATATATTAAGTCTCAGCAAACCCTCACATAGGGAGACTAATTAAGAAACATGTATGGATACCTTTTCATGGCATGAATATCTGCTTCCCCATCATTACACACAGATGTCAACAAAATTACTGCCAAACTCAGAGTATACTCAAAGCTCCCCCACGCACACTGATACAGAGACATGCTGTGGGACAAAGGTGACTCACGGTTCCCAGTGACAATGATTCCCTCTCGTAGGGTCTTGGTCTTTGTATGAGTGAAAATATAGGTGCAGAATTTGTTTGATTGCTCCCGGAAACTACTGTCCAGCTGGTCTTCTGGCACGTTCTCAATATGGGCTAAGAGATTTTTGTCATTTGTAGGCCGGTCAAAGATGAAGCACTTCCGTTTTGGAAAGAACTGTCTGATACACTCTCTGGGAATGTTGGAATTTTGGATTTTGGGATTTGTGCCTGCAAAGGTGGAAAAAAGGTGATCACTGAAAGGCAGCCTTCAGGTAGAGGAGTGAGGACTTCATTTCCAGGAATTTTCCCATCATTGCAGCTCCTGTGTCTGTAAATCTCCTTTCATCCAGTCATTTCTAACCAACCTGGGCCATCACCACAGGTATGGTAAATCCATTTCTGCATGGAGCAGAGTCAAGAAAATACTATGGGAGAAGAAAGAAAGGCATCAGGCTCAACTGAACAAACTTATAATTGGTTTCCTTAGCATTGGTATGGAGTTTAGTGGTTTAAGTATTTATAAAATGTTTATCAAATGACTGATGAATGAACAAAGGTAGTGAAAATTCCTAAAATAAAGTAATGCCAGAAAGAAGAGTAAGACATTGTTTGTGAAAATAACAGGAGATGGACAAATAATACCAAGGGAAGAAAAAAATTTCTAAAATTCAGAGTAAAAGAAAATCACACTAAAAAAATATGTTTGGAGCTCTTTTAGCGGAAGTGTCCACGTGGTAAGGTTAACCTGCAGGTAATTTGGAGGTCTTAAAACTATCTATGTCAGGCTAGATCTGACTTGGAAGTACTTCATAGAATGATTTTGGGGGATATATAAGATGTTCAATAAAATTTTTTTGGAAAAATGAATACATGAATGATTAAATAAAAACTTGTATTATTTCCAGGTGCCATCAATTATTCACTCTGCTAAAATAAAGTAAAAATAAAATGCAAGTAAAATTAACATGTAGTGAATTAATGATATTAAAATGGTAACATAATGTACAAGACCGTAAGAAAGAAGAAAGTGAAATCATGTGACAGATAGATGTGGATCTGAAAGTCTTACTAGAAGGACATCTTTTTTTTTTTTTTTTCTGGACTCTTAATGTGTAAATATCCTTTCTCTGAAATTTGTAACTGTCCAGGCACTAGTAAAGTATTCATAGAATATTTCATAGAAACATGAAATATATTTTTAAAATACGGTCATTTAAATATGGTATATACATAGTAGAATACTATTTAATTTTTTTTTTTTTTTTTTAGCGTTTATTTATTTTTGAGACAGAGAGAGACAAAGCATGAACAGGGGAGGGTCAGAGAGAGGGAGACACAGAATCTGAAACAGGCTCCAGGCTCTGAGCTGTCAGCACAGAGCCCGACGCGGGGCTCGAACTCACGGACCGCTAGATCATGACCTGGGCTGAAGTCGGCCACTTAACCGACTGAGCCACCCAGGCGCCCCAATACATAGTAGAATACTATTTAGTCAGAGAGGAAGAAATTCTAACACCTGCTACAGCATGAATGAATCTTGAGGACATTATGGTTACTGAAATAAGCCAGTCACAAAAAGATAAGTAGTGTATGATTCCATTTCTATGAGGTACCTAGATGGAGACAGAGAGTAGAATGGTGGCTGCCAAGGTGTGGGTGGTGGGTATTAGGGAGTTAGTGTTTAGCAGGTACAACTTTGGATGGGGAAGATAAAAAGTTTTCGGAGTTGGTGGGTGGTGATGCTTGCACAACAATGTGAATGCATTTATTGTCACAGAAGTATAAGCTCAAAAATGGTTAAGATGGTAAATTTTATGTTTTGTATATTTTTCCATAACGAACAATTTATGTCCGTTTATTTCTTGTGATTCAATGTTCACCAACTTCTAATCTGATGAGCTATTTTTGTCAGTATGAAACAAGAGGAGCACATAAAAGGAACACGAGTATGTGGGCCTTAGGAAGCTGCAGCACTGTAACCTAGAAAAATGTTTCACAACACCCATTTGGTCTAAAATCATTTGGTTCCACAGTGGTCCTTAAATTTCCTCAGCGAGCTTACTCCAGCAGCTGGAGTTTTGCAGCTCATAACCTATGAAAAACAATCACCACACATCATTCACCAATCACCCCTCACTAATAGACTATATCTCGAACCAAGGGCAAACAAAATTTGATTTCAAGTCCTGAAGGACAGGGCTTAGTTGCTCCCACTCCCTCTGGAACCTCCATCACCCATGCCATGCTCTGAGACCTGGAATTAGCTTCAAGGCATCCTCCAGGTACTCATCTTCAGTGATTGAGGATTCATCTATCTTCAACTGCAGAGTGAAATCCCGGACAGTCCAAACAAAGTCTGGAAAGAAACTCACAAACTCGGTGGAGTCCTCTACTTCATCAGGTGTTGAGGATTTTGCCCTGATGAGCTGCGTTAGTTCAGCCACGTAGCTGAGAATTCAGCTAAGGAAGGAGAAATGATTTATACCACAATTTCCAGGTCTTATAAAAACAAATTTTATAAACATTAACTTATTTCCCATGTCCCTTCTCCTCAACCAGACAATTAAGATGACAGTCTCAGTTGCCATTCCTGTAAACTCAATAAAACATGGTGGTTTGGTCCCTGGAAGGATACTGCAGCTGCTCCAGGGCCTGGTGGTTGATGGTGCCTATGCTGTTATAGATCAAGGTGCTGCTCAGAAGCACAGTCAGGGCAAAGATCCATGAGTCATTCTTAGGGTTGACCTGGAAAGCACATTAGAGCAAAAGACTAAAGAGCCTCCCCTTCATTTACTTGTTAACATTTCCATTCATTAACACAGTGACTAGAACACAGTAGATATATGCCAATAAGCAGGAAATTATTCCTACAGCAAACTTTATGCGTCATGGACAACATTAAAAACACAATGTCATTCAGTTAAATTCAACAACTATTCATCGGTTGTCTTCTAAATGTCAGGCAATACATTTGGTTGGGTGGTGGACACAACCACCCATATGATAGTCGTTGCCCTCAAGAAGTTGACTTTCTGGGCTGGTCAACCAATGAGTAAACATACAACCAAGAAACATTAACCAAGTTAATGATCTCTGCCAGGAGTAGAACCAGAAGCCTAAAATGTAAAAGGAAAAGGGGTAAAAACCAAAAACGTAAAAAAGAAAAGTGCCCTGCGAATTCTGAGCAAGAGATTACATCTGACTGTGAAATGATGGCAGTGGGTAAAAAAAAAATAGGTGGGTTTTAAAGAAATGATGCAGTGTGGATTTGTGGAAATGAAAAGATCATGGGAGGACCAACACAAGCCAAGTCGGAATTAAAAAGCACAATCATATAAATGTATTATAGAATTACTCCATTTGGCTGAAGCAATGTATAAATGTGTGAGAGTAGATGACAAGACTGGGAAGGAGATTCAAGACAAGATGGGAGGGGCATTGAAGGCCAGGAAAACAGAATTAGACACTATCTAAATCTAAATTTGGTGAGTTGTTCTCTATTGCCACCAGTTATTAATAATATGGTATGTTTGGGTGCCTTAAACAAGTGTAATTAGATAAAAAGAAACAAGTTTTGGCCAAAATATAATATATTTCACCATTAAGGGTCCCTCTTCATTTTTTGGGTGGGGGGTGGTAATTAGAGTAGATCTAACTCACTAGGAATTAAGTTGCAGGGCCCTCGAATGGTAAGTAACAAGTTGGTACTTATGTTCTTTTTTCTTAGTTTGAGAAGTTGCTGGTACATTCAAAGAAGGGATAAACTTGTTAAAATCCAAACATATGGTGAGATGAATTCATGAGGCCTGATAGGTTTTGTTTTAGTTTCTCTTCTGTTTTTATTTTACACTTTATTTTATACTGAGGACTTTAAAACTTAGTTTTAAAACATTAAAAAATTTTAATTCAGAATTTCTAAGTCTCTCCTTTATTTTTTGAGGGGCAGTATCAGAATCAACCCATCTTCTGCTGCTACAATGTAGACTCAGACTTATATGAAGTAAGGAGAAACTACTGATTGTGCCTAATACTGTGAAGACAACACGCCTACAAGTATCCTGTTTACAATATTTTCTATTGGTCAAGATCATGCTTTTTAGAAGTCAGTGAAGAAACTTAGACTAAAATCATTATGGATGTTCTTGGAACAGCCAAAGCTTTTCTGGAGTTTATTTAAATATATTACTTTGTTCAAACCTATTTTTGAGGCTACTATATTCAAACTCACCAATCCATACAATTTAACTGGTAGTCCCATTGACCTGATGGGTTACACTTCAGTCAGTTTTCGTGTTATTTCACCAGGAAAGTTGAAATCTAATCCCTACCCACTACGAGGTTGCATCCATGGCACCTGGTACTGATTGTACTAAGTACTTGAGGTCTCCCCGCTAACCTCTGGGTCTTTACTTTCTTCCCTGCTGTGTCTGTAGTACTTAGCAGAGAGGCCTGGATGTAGCTACTCAAAAGTGTTTATTAAATTGTGTCATTAACCCTGGTGTTAAAAGTAAGATGAATATCTTAACTCAAAATATCAAAATATTTGTGCTCTCAAGGAAAAAAGTTCAAGATAAGAGAATTTAACCTCATTATCTATAATTTGCACTTGCTATTTGTAGGAATAGGTCACAGAAGTGGAATTGAGGTAGTGAATTAATAGGCAAGAGCAAGGAAGTTTACTCAACTTTCTTCCTTACCTTTTTCACATCCCCCAGGCCCTCAGTGTCCAGAAGGACAAGGATGTGGTTCTTCTTGGAGGAGTGGGGCACACACCACATCCAGATGCCCTTGGTTTCAGATCTCACTGTGGCGTTCATGCGGAAACCTGCAAGGGAGGAGTTAACAACATACAGGGACAGTAGATAGTCCAGGTTCCCCAGGAGCTACAGTGGTGAAACTTATAAATGTCTTCCATTTCAGGGTCCAGCAGGGAAAGGCGTTTCTTCCATTTCAGCGACAATCTACTGTTTACAGACATTAAGGATTTTCTGAGGAAACACTTTGGGCCCCCTGTTCATCTTGTACCTGTATAGGCTCAAATAGGTCATAGGACAGATTAATGTAAACTCTACTAACCTGTGTAGTTTTAGCTGACCCTTAAAAGGAAAAAAAACTTTATTGCACTGAAAAAAATAAGAAATACAAGCAGCAAATAAATATATGAAAAGGTTCTCAAACTGATTCATAGTGAGACATAGACTATGTGACTATATAGTCACAAGGTTAGCAACAGCCAAAATGTCTAACATTACCAAATGGTGATAAGGATGTGGGAAAATCTCAGTGACTGCTAACAGTCATGTAAATTGTACATAAAAGTTAAAAAGCTGTTTGAGACTGTCCAGAATGGCTGAAAACACAGATACCCTGTCACCCTGTGGGTCCAATTCTGGGTATAATCAACGGGGGAAGGTTGAGTAAGTGTGTACTGGAATTTAAGTACAAAACCATTTATGATAGTTGAATTCATAAACAAGAAAATCTGGGACCAATCTCAACATTCATTAATAATAAATGGAGAAACAAATTCTGATATCTTCATACGATTGTACACTATGCAGCAGTTAACGGAAATAAATTACAAATACATACAAGAAAAACAACACACAAAAGAATACACATGGTACAATTTCATTTATATAAATTTTAAAAGCAGACCAAATTAAACTTTTTTGAAATGCATAGACTATAAAACCATTTCTTTCTTTCTTTCTTTCTTTCTTTCTTTCTTTCTTTCTTTCTTTCTTTCTTTCTTT